ATCCAGCTGTATCGACAGTGCAGAGGCGCGTTACGATGAAACGACTGAAGTACCTTTAACAGTTCAGAGGTCAGGGCGAAAATGAGAAGTTGAAGAGCTAAAAATGAAAAGGACAAACCATCTGTCGCTGAGCATTGTTGCAGTGCGCAATCACCTGGATGACTTTATACTTATCGCATCCGGGGCCCTTCATCGCTTCATACAATCTGTCAGCTGCTTCCTCGGCATTGAAGTTTGCCTGTGGCTTGATCGTCCCATAGAATTCACCGGTCATTTTTGTTCTCTGTGCAACTCACCAGACCTGCTTTGTTGCTGGAAAATTATTTATTTGTTGGATCAATTCGAATGCTGAATGCGATCACAGTACGCTCTACGTAAGCGTCTTGGCGTAGCCCAAGGAGAGAAAAGATAAAAGTGTTTTTTTTTTTTTGCGAGCGCATGCTGTATTCTGGCATTTAATCGTAAAAAATATTATATTTACTCAGCAAATAATCTTAGAAGCAGCATAAGTTATGCAAGGCAATTTCGCATTTAAAACCAGTCAATTAACCGATGAATATGTCAAAAAAATAAAAAAAGAAGATTCGCTGAAGCTAGGGATTTTTTTTTCCGAAATATGCATGGAATGAAATTTCACCACAAAAGAATAAGCTACTAGTTCTGGGCCAGCGCAAACAAATTGCTGCTCGATAGACACTAGGCCACAGAAAAACACTGTCGCAATTCACAGTGAAAAACAGAAGGAAAATAAATAAAAACAACCCCATGGTAGTGTCAAAATGCGAACCTTCTCGACCCCCGATCAATCTTTCTTCACCTAGCTTTAGCTGGGCGATGCGTAGCAGTGAAAATTCTTGTAGGGTAAAAAAGCCCTGCGAAAAGTGTCACCCGAATGATTGCAGGCGAAGTGATGCACACTTAAGTACTGGCGATGGTAAGCACAAGCTGCAGGTACACATCTCAGGAGGAGCCTGTCAGAACTATGATTTGTACTTGGCTGCAGCTTGGCAGCATTGTAGATTGCATGCAGGTAGTCGCTGAGCACCACAACTGGACCTCATCAGTACGACGGTTCTGACCTTAAATTATTTGCAATATCTTGTCAGAATAATTTAAGGCCACAATCACCGTGTTGATGAGATTCTGCTGTGCTGCTCAACAGTAATGTATGTGGTTTGAAGGTCTTGTTTAACTGCTTAATTTCAATTTTATACTATTTTCATAAAATTTACTGAAACATATCTTAAATCACCAATAAATACTAACAGCTTTTTTCCACATCTATATAAGCAGTTCTAAGGTACGGTACTATGACCGTCACAATGACAAAAGCATAC